AGGATTACTTTGCTTTGTAATTGTCTCCCTATCACCGTCAGGCATTTCGATGGTCATGATGGTCGCCTGAGATACAGGATGGGCAAACAATACTATTTTTGTCAAAAATTGACAGTAATTTGTTTATGAAAATTCTTATACCTTTACTCGTTTTTGTTTCTTCCGTTTTAAGAACGCCTTATTTTCCTCTTCTCTTCTTGATTTATTTTTACAAGCTAATGATTCCGAGCTTGGTTTTTATATAACAGTATTTATATTGAAGACAAGGATTGAAACCCTTTCAAATTAAGTTAATTTTAAATGTTTTATGATTTAATGGGGGGAAAAATCAATAAATTGTAAGAAAAATTCAAGAGTTTGAGAAGAAAATTTGAAGAGTTTTGTTTACTTTTAATACGTAATTTTTCTGTTAGCATTGATTGCTAATACTTTTTTCTTCTGTGTATTTATAGACGTGTATATGAGTTTAAAAATTCATAAACCTACGCGTAGAAACATAGTAAAGTTCAGAAATAAAAGGAATCTTTTTTTTCTATTTTTATAAATGGTAAATATGAATATGTATATATGTACGTATGTATGTAATAATATAAACTATGTATGTGTTTATACTTTTGAAGAATAAAGAAATAAGAAATGCCTAAGTCGGAAAAGTTTTTGATATAAATGTATTACAATGTATGGATGTATAATAGATATAGAATAAGATATAAAGATATGTATGTATGTAAGGGCATGAATGCATTGATTGTTAATAATGCGTAGTAAAAAAATCTTTTTTTATTTGTTTCATGTTTATTCGGCTATCATCGCTTAATAATTCAATACAAGATATGCTATTTAAATTTTGACTGACATAGAGAAATGTCATTTATAATAAATATCAAATTAATTCAAATGTCATTTATATGTGGAAATTTTTCTGTTCAACTGTCAATAACAACTGAACTATTAAAATGACCTCGAAATTCAAAGCCTCATTTTAGAGGAATAAGATCATTGTTTTCATACTCTTAAAAATCGCTAGCGAAAAAAATTTTTCTCGCAGTTGCTCTTGGAGTTCTTTTAATATTATTATTATTAATATTTATGCCACAGACCGGTAATGGTTAAATTTCATTAGACTGAAAATATTTTGGAAAAAATATCACTATCGAAAAGTTTTTCTATTTTGTTGACATTAATTTTTATGTCAAAATTAATGTCATAATAATGTCATATTTAAATAAAAAACTGAATGAAAATTCACAAATAAAAATTGAAGAATTTTATAAAATTAAAAATTTATTTGCAATTTTATAAAATTTCCTTTAAATAATTTTTACTATTCTCTTTATGAGCTCAAAATATAGAACAGTTATAAAATATTTATTCTAGCCTCGCTTCATTTTAAATATGTTACTCGTCCGTACAAATAATTATTATATGGGGGAATAAAATAGAGAAAGTCTAATTATTTTTATATTTATTTTATTTAATTTCCTTCTTTTTCTCGTATCTTTAAATATATTTCTGTATTTTCTTTTTTGTTTGCTTTTTAGAAAATTTCTAACAAAATTGAAAAAATGCTCGTGTTAGTTTTACTTTTTCTATCCGAGCTTCCGTTCGTTGGTTTGCACAAATTTTACACTATATAAATGAAGAAAATTTCTACCTACCCTCTCTTGTAAAATTAAAATTTTTTACCGTTATCCTGAAGGTATGCAATAATTATTTAATGCATAATATTATAAATTGGGTATATTGAGACAAATAATCGGTGATTTGTCAAAAACAATGTAAACTGCTGCCCTTATGCAATAAAACTGTTTTTGACAAATTTCCGAAAATTTCGAATTCAAAGAAATTTCAAGAGAAATCTGCTGCTCTACAAACCATTAGTTTAATCGGAAATTATTTATTTGATTTTAATTATTTTTGAAATCTAAAATTTACTTAAATATTTAAATTGGAAAAATTAAAACAAATATTATGATTGCATATAATTTCAAATAAAAGAAAGAGAAAAAAAATATATGCAATTTTTCTTTAAAGTGACAATGTTAGTTGAGTATTCGAGACATGAGGGTCCTTGTAAATTTCCCGAAATACACACACTCATGCATTCATATATATGAACATATAAATACGTGTATCTGTATATTATTTATATTTTAAGGAATATTACTTGTTTTATTAAGAAATTGAAAAGTTTCAAGGCATTTATAGTTTTTGTTTTTTTTTTTATTTTCCTTAGCAACAATCATTAGAAACGCTAATGTATATTTATGTATACGTGTTAATTGACTCGCATTTGTATACACAATATTTATTTTATTTCATATACAATATATAATTTATGAAGACATCCTTGTGTCAGTTTCAAAAACGTATACGAAATATAATACAAGTCTATAACTATATGTTTATTGTATATTGAAATGAAATTGAGGACCTTAACACAATGTATACAAATACAGTGCTTTACATTTCAGATATATGAGCCGTATATAGAGTCGACATATTGTCTATTGTAACGTAATATAATATTGTGTAAATCTAAATATAATTTTGAAATTACTTAAGTCTTAGTTTTTTTTTTTAGGAAAATAAAATGTCAACATGTAAAAAATATTTTTCTTTTAATTTTTTTTTAACAAATTCGAAATCAAATATAATTCTAATTGCATTAGAACGTCTTCTTAAATGAAAATCTAATGCCATTTTTACTCATCCAGTATTGCTAAATATGTATGTCAAATTGACATATATGTCAATATGTCAATTTAAGATCTGTCATTGATTGTCATTAAATTTTTACATAAGTAGATTTTGAAAGGTTCTCGGCAAGAGGAATGAAACGTTTGTCAACAATTAATGCAAAAGTCATCATGTAAACACAGGTATTATTCACATTCATTTTTACAAAATAAATAATTCTTTCAATCAACTCTGTTTATACGATTTTATGAGATTTATCTGAGTGACATCTATAGTTCACAAAAATTCAAAATTCAAGTGAAAAGACAATGAAAGATAAAAATCATATCAACATGCAATCGGAAATTTCATTTGCAAGTTGGATGCAAATACGGCTTAATTTTATATATAGTTGACTTACGTTAGTGTTAGTATTATCATACTAACATTATATCAAATGACGTGTTCGATTACAAAATTTTGATTGAAAAAAGTTAGTTTAAGTATAGTTTTGACGCAGTTATTCAATATTTTTATTTGATTTAAGAGAAATTTTAACTATCTTATCAATATTGTCTGATTGTATAAATTGAATGAAATTTATTAGTTTAGTTTTATATTACACTGTGTAAACATTTACATTCATATATGCATGCATATGAATAACTATAGTTTGTGACTTGTAATTAAAAATTAATATAAATATTAAGTTTATTAATATAGGTATGTATGTATATGCACATACATACATGAAATTATAGTAATATAAAAAATTAATCAATTAATTTCTTTGTAACCGAATGAACACTTGAAAAGAAAACAAAAGTTTAAGAAATTTTCATGATTATGAATTTCTTTTTAAACTAAATTGCTGACTATATTCTAGTATAGTTGAGCCTTTATGTGAAAGTCGACTATATCAGTAACTTAAAACATCTATAAAACAAAATATATGTATGTGTATGTAGTAGTGTTATTATATATTTTTATAAGGAAAGTACATGTACCTACGTATTGTATTCCACTAATTCTTTGTTGTGAGGTTATGTTTATTCTTATTATAAGTAATAAGTAATAAAATTAGGTCAAAACTTATATTTCAATACTTTTCGCTCTTTTTTTTAAATTTATTGATATTATCAGGATATTAATATTAATAATTTTATATCCTTCAATAAAATTTAAAAGGTATTATATTATAAGTTACTCTTACAGAAATTTTCTTCTAATAGGTTTCATGTGTTATACAGCCTTCAGTTTAAATATTGCATTTCAAAATTAAATACTTTAAGTCTATCTGATAGTTTTTATGGCCAAATATACAGGTTGTCAAAGTTGACAGGTTGTCAAAGTTGTCGCTTGTCAAACGATAAAAAATTTAAGTTGAAAATAGTACAAGAGCGCTTTTCAGCGCCGAAATATTAAAATTCTAATAGAATGTAAATATTTAAATGGGGCTGCCCAGAATCAAGCGGTAAAATAGCCTAAAATCCTATTTAATCGCCGGTGTTTTTTTTTTTGTTGTAACATGTTTCCATGGTGTTATGACAAAATACTGAACAGTTGATTTTTCAGTTCTGCTGTTGTTCTGTGTTAACAACGGAAATCGTCTGCCGTTTCCGTTCACCGTTTTGGTTTTGTTTTTACAATTAATTAGCAATAAAATTAATGAAAAGAAATTTAATAATATTTTGATTTTTCTCATTTATCGGGAACTATTTCTATTGCTAATGCTATAGTATATAGGAAGACCCATATTCATCAATAGATTCATTAAAATTTCGAATTTATGAGAATAGGTTCATAAAAAATTTGTATTTTTAAAACAAGCAGAAATGTTGATGTAAATTCTACACAAACGTAAAGCAATAAATGTTTACAACAAAATGTTAACATTTCCAATTTACTAAATGTAATGAAATATTTCGCAACATTCATATCAGATACATTCTTCATCAACATTTCTGATTATTGTACACATTTCTAAAATAGCTTTGATTGCTTTGAAAGCTTTTCAATAATTTTTTGTGTACTTGAATACAAAATATTTGCGTTAATATTATAAGAATTAGAAAATATACAGACGAACATATAAACGTACGTATTTGACTATATTACTTGAAGCACGTGCTTGTAAATTTTATGTACATACATATGTATTTCGGTATTTTAGACTTAGTATACATTCATATACACATGTAGGTACTAGATGAGTTAGTTATATGTGTCTAAAATAAAAATTTTTAATATATGTAAATGCTCTATATTTAATATTTTTTAAGAATATTTTATTTAATTTTCATTCTCTTTTTATATTTCAGTATTGGATCAAGTGCTTTGAGTCTTCAGCAAAGGTAAGTCGATATTTTAAAATATATTGTTGTTAAACTTCTCTCTATCGTATATTAAATATTGCAAATTATATAATAAACTGATTTTGATCCTGACCCCAACACTCACTTTGATCTCGACTTCAGTTATAAATTTTAAAATATTGATTTAGATCAATATTTCTCCTTCGCACTTGCGGTTACAGTTCAATTATTGATCTCTTACCCCTTGCCTGAAAAGAAAGGAAATCAATTGAAAAATTAGCTCCTATACTAAGAAGTACGAGTACTTCAACGAAAAATTTTTAATATAAATATTATAGCTGGCGCTATTGACTTTCTATTATCGCTAATTGAGACAACAATATTTTTTTAAAATACATAATATTATACGAGTAGTGAAGAGTTCAACACACTTCTCAATATGTTCTTAATTGATTTCCTTATCTTTAAGCATATAACGATATTAGAGGTACCTTATTGTTATAAAATAAATTTAATATTGTTTGCCGACCAGAACTGCATAGATATTTATTTTTCTTTAGAAAATACTATCGACCCTATATCTTAACTGCAGTTTTTGTTTTCTTAAAAATGGTGGGTATTTACTAAAAACATATTAGTGTTTAGGAAATCCCCTCTTAAATAATAATTTTCTTATAATATAAATTTGAAAAACAATATAAAACTATACTTGACTTGACTAAACTGTCCAACATAATTTGCTCTCTACTGTTATATATATTTCTGAAGACTCATATAGTGAGCCTTCGGAAACATGGATATTTATATGTAGTATGAATGTATGTACATATTTTTTGTGTATTTTCTAATACATACAGTAAGTGTAAAAGCACATGTTTTTCATGATTTCTTGCTCCAATAACTTTATTCTTCTGAAATTTTGTATGAATATATAAAAAATTACAATACATGTATGTATAGCATAACTTTTCATATGTGTATGTGTTTATACCACATTTTATGCTATTGAGAATTAGTTCACATAATTATTATGTTTTTATATAAGTATGTAATGTATGATATGAATCTTTAGTGATGTGAGTTTTGTATTCATACAATTGGTTTTGATACCTTTTTAAAATTTTCTGTTTACAATGATAAACCGAAAATCCCCGAACTAAATCAAGCGAAATTTTACAACTATTTACAACAACTGTTTAGATTTTACAATTATCCCGTTATTTATAACCTCAATTATTCATTTATTTCTTGAATTGATAAATTTTTATCATTATGTATTAAAAGTTAAGTATGTTGAATACCAAAAATGTAGTTGTTTCATATAACAAATATGTAATGATTTATGAATAATTTATCTATAATTTTGTTATTGGTACTAAAATCTAAGCAATATTGCTTAATATATTCAATATATTTTATTTAACAAATCAAGCTCAATGATGTAACTAAAATAAAAAAATTAGAATTAAAAATAGGTAACAAAATTTGCTACAATTTGTTTATGAAATGCTACAACCCTGCTTTTTTTTTACCTACGTTGTTCGCAATTCGTTAGCAACATTTTTCTTGAATAAAATAAAAATGATACTTTTTGTTTTGTTTGTACTTATGATGTTCTTTTCTGTTTGGTTTTGTTTTTGTTTTTATTTGTAATAACAAATTTTTAGAAGTTCTATATTTTTTTAGTTCGTCACTTATAACTCACAGATTATTTCCGTAAAATTTTATATAAGTACTATGAAATTTGTGTTGAAAATTTAAGACTATACTTCACAGGATCATTTCTGTAGTAAGTCTTCATTACTTTCCGATGAAAATTGGAATTTTTACACAACTATGATGATGAGTTGAATCGTCTTATCTGGAGCGTGAGGTTTGAATAGGATTAAATTTCTATAATTTATATTATATTTTTCGATGATCGCTTTTTAAAAACAGATAAGACGAATTCCGAGTAGTTGTGAAAAAGAAACTTATAAAAAATTTCAAATAAAGAGTGATTAATTTAGTGCGAATTTTTATTAGTTGCTGAATTAATGTGTACATTGTTGAAGTAGGTGCTGCACAATTTAAAACGGGCCGGCTAGGTAGTTTTTCTGTACTTGGGAAATTTTGATGGACAAGGGAAAAATTGGAAGGATTTTTGTAGAAATGCTGGGTCTCCCGGATAGGGCGAATCGGTCGTCACTCTTCTTAATTGTGGTTCAAAATTTGTTTTTAAATTGAATGAATTAATTGAAAAATATTACGGTAAATTAAAATTAGTATAAAAAAATAAAATTTTAGCGAACAAAATATTTAATGGGAAAAAAAGCTCTTATAAAAATTGCAATTATTTATTATTGTTAAATAAAAGACAGAAAAATTAATAAAGTCTAGTCATTTTTTTTATTAAATTCGTTCTTAACATTTTCTCTTAATTAATGTTAATATTTTTGAATAATTAATTTTTGCTCAAACAATATTTATTAATTTACACTTTATTAAAACAAATTTATAAAAATTAAAATCGAATTTACTTAAATAATTTTTTATTACCATATGGTGAATTTGTTTGTTTTTTTTTCTCTCTCTACGTTTCAATTAAATTCATTATTAATTTTAATAATTGTTAATTTAGCAATTTTGCTAAAAAATGACAAAATTCGAAAATTATTTTTCGAATACTACAATAATAATGTCATCAATTATATTTTTTAAATTCCTTTTTTTATTAATTTTAATAAAGTAGAAAAATGAATGGTTAAAAATGTTGACATTTTTATTGTATTTGTTATAATTAAAAAATAATATCATTTGTATTCAATTATTGCGCGTAACCAATGGTGTAATTACCAAATTTTTTTCTAATTTTAATAGAAAATCTTGATTAATTCACGTTCAGAACATAAGATAATAATATGTGTAAAATATTAAAAAATCGCACTTAATTCATTTGGTAGTAATTTTAATCTGAATTAGGGTAGTTATGTGCAGCGTACAATCGTTTACCTCTTTTGACGGACATGTTTACTAAATATTTACTCAGTTTTTGTACATAAGTCAGAGTATAAAAAGATTTATTAGTAAAGATATACTGGTGCTCACAATTACCCACTATGCACAATTTCACAGCTTTTCACTTATAGTCAGAGGACGGAGAGTTGAAGATTGTCCGCAATTGGTATTGAAACTCTCGATCCGTTAGAACCTCATTGTTCTAGCTTCAACAGTTTCAGGGCTGTTATGGATATTGTTGGCAGACAGAATTTTTTAATATATTTTTCTTTAATCTTAAAAAAGTACCCCCCGCCCCGCCCTGTTCTTCTATTTTCGACCAACATCTTTTGAAAATTAAGCATAATTTTTGTTTTCAAAATATCAAAGAATTACTCATATCGTCATAAAATTAACCTGCATCCATAAAATGTACGTATACACAATCAGAAATTACTCACTCTATACATTATTTATGTTTTATTATGGTATAACATTATTTTTGCAATTATATTCTACATGCAAATACAAATATACATACATAGGTATATATAAATTTCAAGTAAAAATTTGTACAGGTAAATGATAACTACGAACAAACAGACGAATAATAATGATTTTCTTATCGTATTTTGTTTTTATTTTTATTTTATTTTTAAAACATTCTGTGAAGCCCAAAAATAATTTTTATTAGTCAACATAAAAATATTATTCATTCTATTATTTCACTTGCTTACTTATAACTCACAGATTATTTCAATGAAATTTTATATAAGTACTATGAAATTTGTGTTGAAAATTTAAGACTATACTTCACAGGATCATTTCTGTAGTAAGTCTTCATTACTTTCCGATGAAAATTGGAATTTTTACACAACTATGATGATGAGTTGAATCGTCTTATCTGGAGCGTGAGGTTTGAATAGGATTAAATTTCTATAATTTATATTCTATTTTTCGATGATCGCTTTTTAAAAACAGATAAGACGAATTCCGAGTAGTTGTGAAAAAGAAACTTATAAAAAATTTCAAATAAAATTAATTCCTGGTATTTGCGTCGGGTGAAATTCCCTGGTCTATTATAATGTTTTAGACTTTTACATTTTAGTATATTATCCTTCTTCGGACGGGGACAGTCCACGGTTTCTTTTTCATTCATCATTTTCTCTTCGAGATTCTGTCCCTTGTTAATTTGTTTTACGTGTCTATTGTACTAATTAAATTTATGTTGTGTTTTCTGACCCGCTGGAAATGGATCTAAACAAATTTTTTGTACATTTTGAAACTTTTTTATTTTACATTTTATGTTCCTGCAGCCTGCTGGCCATTATTCCTGCAATTATAATTAATTAACTGATAAAATTAATAACTGCAATTGCATTTCTAATTATAATTAAAACTTCATTAAATTCTAGTAAATTTTAGGTAATTTTTTTATTGAATACCAAATTGGATGTTTTCCAAATTAACTGCTTACTTAACTTGATTTCAAACTTACATCACAAATTTATTTACGTAATAAATTTATAAGTCATTAAATGTGTAAATATTTTGTATTTTTTTGAATTTTTTTCAAAATGCGCTTGTCGTAATACTATACGTACAATTACATATATAATTTGTACGCATATAATAAATATTGTTAAAATTCATAAATATTAAAATGTTATATAAGAAAATTGTAATAAAATATTTCGATAAAATTTTGTTTATAGTAAAAAAATATTGCAATTTTTTTTTATTGACAACGCAAGGTAACTGTTATAAAAAATGTTACCACGGGTATAAAAATTCTATATAACATTTTTATCAATTTAAAGTGGACGATACTTGTATGAGCTTTTAATTGAGTAAATTTTACAAAAATAAATTAATTGTGTAAAATGAATTAAATAGTAACAAATAAATGAATTCTTAAATGAATTTTTAGTGTATGTATATGAAAATAGAGAAATTATATTTTTTAAATAGTATGCAAATGTATTTGCAGGATTTTGTAATTGTATTGCAAAATTTATAAATTACAATTTTATTATTTCTAGTATAATTTTTTAAAGATCGCTCAAAATATAAGGTGTTTCATTTATAATTAATAAATTTAAGTGATTTTTCTTGAATTTAAATCTCGAGTTTTTAAATAACAGCAATGACAGGAAAAGAGCTTTGCATTTAAGAGTACGTGCCGTTTTTTGATGTTTAATATTTTGATGCTTCGAATCGATGATGCCTCATGTTAGGATTTTTTTTGTAAAATTTGTTTATAGTAAAATTTTCATTATAGTTCTCAGTTTTATAACAATTTTTTATAAAATTTTATTAATAATCTTTGTAAATTCAAAATTTATGAAGTTGCAGTTGGCGTCTTGTTACCGTCATTATTGTTGTTTATTTTCCGTTTGAATTTACATGAAATATTTTATTTCATATGACATAATTTTCATAATATGATATTTATGAAATTTTCTATACATATATATTTATGTATGTCATCTTGTAGACAAATGTGTCAAAATGGTTTTCGATTTGGAAAAGCTATTAAAAAGATTTTGGAAATATATTTGACTAAGACATAAGTTGAAATATTCTGCATTTGTATAACTTAATGGGCATGCATTCTAACACAAAATGTATAACCCTTTATTATTATAACCAGATAACCAGATGTTTATATATTATATACGAGCATTTTGAAGGATAATTTATGATCAAATATTTATAGTAAACACCTTATATCCGCAATTATTAATAAATATATCAAAAATTATAGTTTATTAAAATATAGTAAATACAAATAAAATATTATTGATATAATAATATTAATATTTTGCTATATTTTTTTTATGTGTCACACAATATGTTATACAAATGTGCATTATTACCTAATAAAATATACAAACATATATTGGCTGTTCACAACAAATAAAATGTCAGAGTTATAAAATTAAGAATATTTTGTTTGTTATTCTTTTTTTTTTTTTTTTTTTTTGGTTTACAAGGTAAAAACCCTTGACTTCAAATTGATTTTCTTACAGTCTTGCGATGCTATTGAACGGAAAAATTACTATTATTTTAAATGTATTAAGTGTCGCGGAAGTGAAAATAAACAAATAACCGCCGGGAATTGTTTACAAACTACAAGTTTATTATATTTTATATATACACATACATTCATATATTAACATACATATATACATTCGTATTTTGTTTTTTTTTTTTTTTATAGTATAAAAAATGTTATTTTACAATTTAGATTTTTTATAAGTCAGAATCGAAAGGAGTAATATTGTGATTGTAACATAACGGTACTGCAACGCGAGAATTATATATTGTGATTTCAGAGAAAAAAATATAGAAAATAAGAAAAATAAGAGAGAAATTATCATATTTGAGTGCAGTATGAATTAAATTCAAGGATTTTTTCGATTAAATTATAAAAAAAAAATTATTAAGAATTAAAATTTTGCTTTTAATAAAGTTTTTTATAAAAATATAAGAAAAAAGCATAAAAAATGCTAGTTCCTAGACACAGTGTTGGATCTCTATATAGTACAGGGTGTGTATTACATAAAAATATTTTATTTAATTGCAAAAATTACAGTTATGTGCAAATGACTTGTTAATATTATTTAAAGAACTTTGATTATTAAAAATAAAAAATTTATTTTATAGAAAGTTGTTTTGAAATTGAAAAATTGCTGAACTGAAGTTCAAAATTGCACTAATAAATTTTTACTGTATTAATCCACAATTCAGCAATTACAACTTATAAGCTGAATTGTAAATAAACGTTGTGAAACTGCACACTCGTGAAAATATTTGAAATAATATGAAAATTATTTGAATTTTTTCATATTTTAACCTTTATATTTAAAAATTTTGTATGAAAATTTTAGGTTCGGAGGTAGAAATAAATTGTTCATTAAATAGAGAATATTAAATGAAGTTTAAATGTGTCAAAAATATACATAGTTCAATTCTGTACATAAATTATGACTTCTAATATACAAAGTTTTAAAAAACTTGAATAATAAAGTAAAAATTTCAATTTGAATGTCAAAATAAATTCATTCAATTTGGCAGTAGTTATTTATATTTCGATTTTCACCTGTTATTGTCATTATTGATGTTTTCTATAAACATATAATTTATGTAGATATACACAAACACCTTCACGGAAATTGGAAAAGTGTGTTTTTTTTTTTTAGAAAATGTTATTTTTAAATCTAAACAGAAAAAATCAAACTTATTTTGTCGATTTTTATATTTTGCACAAAAAATATCACCAATTTTTGATAATGAAAAATTTTCTAATTTTAGAAATGAATTTCCGAATTCTATAAATTTTTCTATTATTTATGCATTTGTATGCATACACATGTACAGTAATTTTGTATTCATATGTATGTAAATAAAATAAAATTCTTGTATAATTATTTATTTTTGAGATAAAGAACAAAAATTTCAATTAATTTCTACTTAAGGAACTCAAAAACAAAGAAAATTCTAAATTCTATTCAAGAACGTCAACGGACTATGTTAAATAGGGGATTTATTCACATGCAACAAAATTTTGTACATGTGTTTATCTATCAATGAGCTTAGCCTGTTATATTCTGACTCAAATCTTAAAATTCTCCATCATATGGTTTTACGAACTAAACGTAGATATTTTGAAGTGTGATACAATAAAATTTTTTTTAAAATTATTAAAAGCATGTAGAAAGGCGTGTTCTCTCAAATTGTTAATATCGATCGTATTTTCTCTTAAGTGAAATGCAGTATATTTAATATTTCAGATGAAAATCAAAATTCCCGCTTATCCTGAATGGTAAGAATTTTAATTGTTATATCTTTTTCACTGTTTCTTGTTATAAACGATAGATGAATTTCATGAATGTTAAGATTTTTTTTTTGGCATAAGTTCAAAGACAAAAGCTAAATAATTATTTGAATTTTAAAGAAAAAAAAAAGTAACCTTTCATTGTTTTTGGCTTTCAAATTATTTTCTCTGACATTTATTTTAAAAATTTCAAAGTGTAGTACATAGACATAATTTTTGTTTGTATATATTTACATATGTACATATATGTATACACATGTATGTAGTTTTTGATGTCCTTTTGTATTGGTTTCTTGTATGATAATATTTATTTAAACAACTAATTTGCCATTATTATTTATTTGATTATTTATAATAGGTGAAAATCATTATTTATATTAAGAATGTACACGAATATATAGAGAGAAAGTTCTGCTTTGTGGAAGTGAATATCCGTATAAACTGAATAATTTTTAAGTACATACAATTGCAAGAGAATTTGCAATTGTATGTTTGTAAAGGTAGTCGGGTGGATGTTGATGTAGAAGTCGTCTTTCAGGACATTTCACATCACTTCATAATAATTTTACACTAGTTTAATATTTTGTCATATTTTCTATTAATATTTTCTTCCTCTCTTTCTCTTTAAATTTATAAGAACGACTATAGCCAGTATGACTATGCAAAAATAATTTAAATATAAAAAATCAAATGAAATACAATTTAAAATATTCAAAATGTTCACATGTTTTATGCGTGCTTTATAATAAAAAAAAATTTATAATAATTTTCTTTAATAAAAGCTTATTTAAAAGTCAAAAAAATGAATCGATATCGAATTCTTCTTTAAAATCGATTAATAACTATTTACTAAAAATATGCAAACATAAAAAAATTATTCAAATCGATTCAAATATAATTTTTTTTCTCTCTTAATTTTGTATTATTAATAACCCATACATATTAACACAATCAAATGAAAAAGCGTCAAAGCGAACAGTTGAGATTTGTGGTTTGTGAGAATTAAAAGCGTAATTCGCATAGATAGACAATTCGGCGCCAATTTTTTATTTTTATGTAGAAATTTTAAAAGCTTTTTTTTTCTTTAATTTTTTTCTTCATTTCAAGGTCAATAGCGCTTTTAATTTTTTCTTAATTCATTTTTAATCTTCTATATATGTAC